CACTACAAGGGGATCAGTGGCACGATAGTTTTGGACTTGGTGTCATCCTTTTTCCATATGGGGTACCACTTATATGTGGGCAATTTTTATTCAAGCGTGCCACTATTTAGACATTTGTACAATCTTGGAACTGGCGCATGTGGCACCGTGTGACCTAATGTGTGCCCACCATTAGAAGTGGGTGGATGCAGGGCGGTATATTTTAATGGTGGGCACACCACCCTTTTTTTTGGCAGAGATTTCTTCTCTTTTTTTCATTCAGTCTACAGGTTGCATACAAAAAAAAAAAAAAAAAAAAAAAGAACATAGCATATATACCCAAGGACCAGCGACGTACTGGTACAACACTGGACTTTGAATGGTTATACCAGGATGATGCCTACAGCTGCAGGCATCATCCTCGTATAATTTTTTTTCAGCTGGCGATCGGCTTTCATGTAAAAGCAATCCTAGTGGCTAATTAGCTGCAGGATTGCTTTTACAAGCAGAGGGAGACAATGCCCTCCCCTCCCACGCTGCCTTCCACGACCTTCTCGGGCAGTCCCGTGCCATCGGGGGAACTTGAGAATGCAGCCGGTGTTTCTGCCAGCTGACCAGAGAGCTAATTGGAGACCAGAATGGTGACAATCATCTCTATAGTCTAAGAAATCAGAAGCTACGAGCATTTCATCACTTCAGTTTCGCAGGATATAAACAGCGCCATTTGTAAATTGGGAAAGCATCTGATCACACCGATCTTGGTTTGATTAGATAATGTAAGGGCACAGGAGATATCTAGTCTGATAGAACCCAGATTTCTCAAAAAAGAATATATGACAATGCCCATTGAAGTTATAGGGGATATTTTGCATTCTCTGTGACAGCATTAAAAATGATAAAAAAATAAATAAATTAAAAAGGGACAGTGTAAAAATAAAAAAAATCAAAATAACAAAAAAAATTAAGTACCCTCGCCCCCCTGCGCACCTGTGTTCGTGAGTGTTGACCCTGTGCCAGTATGGATACAGCAGTTGCACCATGCATGTGAGGTATCGCCATGAATGTCAGATCAAGGGCAGTAATTCTAACACTAGACCTCCTCTGTATATCTAAAATGGTAGCTTTTAAAACGTTGCCTATGGATATTAAAAATGCATGCAGTTTGTCGCCATTGCACGGGGCATGCGCAGTTTTAAAGCAAGTCATGTTTGGTATTTATTTACTCGGCATACCAACATCTTTTATATTTTACCAAATAATTGCTCAATATATTGTGTTTTTGTGCATTAAAAGTAAAAAAAGTGTTTTTTTTTTTTTTTTAATTGTGTTTGAAAAATCACTGCGCGAGTACTATGTGACATAAAAAAATTGCAGCACCCACCATTTTATTCACTAGGGTGTTTGCGTTAAAAAATATATATAATGTTTGGGGTTTAAATTAATTTCCTAGCAAAAAACACAGATTTTTTTTTTTTCATGTAAACAAAGTGTCAGAAAAGGCTTGGTCTTCAGGTGGTTAGAAGAGTAAATGATGTGTGGCATAAACTTCTAATGCCCTCACCCCCAAAACGACCCCTTTTTGGAAAGTAGATACCCCAAACTATTTGCTGAGAGGCATGTTGAATCAGTAGAAGAATTTTTTTTTTTTACCAGAAGTTTTTGGAAAATGACAAATTTTTTTTTTTCTTTACACAAAATTGGCACTTAAATGATTTATTGCTCACACATGCCGTATTATTTACACATGTTATATGTAGAATTACTCCCCAAAATACATTCTGCTACTTCTCCCAAGTATGGGGGTACCACATGTGAGAAACGTTTTGGCAGTCTAGCCAAGTACAGGACCCCAAAAAGCACCTTCAGGCTTTTTAAAGGGCTTTATTTCCTCATTATACCTCCTGACTACCTATCACAGTTTCGGAGGCCTTGAAATGCCAGGATAGCACCAAAACCCCCCAATTGACCACTTTTTGGAAAGTAGACACCCCAAGGAATTTGATAACCATGGTGAGTATTTTGCAGATCTCGTTTGTTGCCACAAGTTTTCGGAAAATGAAAGAAAAAAAACTTATTTTTTTCTTTTCTTTTTTTACATTTCAAAACCTTGTGAGAAAAAATGATATCTGCAAAATGCTCATCATGCCTCTTTTTAAATTCCTTGGGGTGTGTCTTTTCCAAAAAGGGGTCATTTGGGGGGTTCGGTGCTATCCTGGGATTTCAGGGCCTTCAAAACTGTGATAGGTAGTGAAGAAGTGAAATGAGGAAGTTACAGGACCTTCAGGCTTTCAAAGTGGTCATTGGATTTCAGGCTCCTGTATGTGGCTAGGCTCCCACATGTGGTATCCTCATACTCGGTAGAAGTAGCAGAATGTATTTTAAGGTGTAATTCCACATATACCCATGGCTTGTGCAAGAAATATATCATTTGACAACTTTGTGTAAAAAAAAAAAAAATAGTTTTTGTCATTTTCCAGAAACTTGTGGAAAAAAATAAATCTTCCATGGACTCAATATGCCTCTCAGAAGATAGCTTAGGGTGTCTACTTTCCAAAAAGGGGTCATTTGGGGGTGTTTGTACTATCCAGGCATTTTAGCACCTCAAGAAATGTGATGGGCAGTCCAAAAAGTAAAAGCTGTATAAATTCCATTTTCTATACCATAGTTTGTAGACACTATAACTTTCACACAAAACAATTAATATACACTTATTGGGATTTTGTTTAACCAAAAACATGTAGCAGAATACATTTTGGCCTAAATTCATGACAAAATTTTAGTTTTTTTTGGATGTGTTTTATGACAGAATTGAGAAAAATATAGTTATTTTTAAAAAAAATATATTTTCTTCAAACCTTTTTTTGTTTATAGCGCAAAAATAAAAAGCGCACAGGTGATCAAATGCCACCAAAAGAAATTTTTATATGTATGAAAAAAAGCACATACATTTCATTGATGTACCGTGTTGCATGACAGCACAATTGTCAGTAAAAAAAAAATAAAAGGAGTAAATTGCAGTAACTATACCATAGTTTGTAGACGCTATAACTTTCACACAAAGTATTGGGATTTTTTTTTACCAAAACCATGTAGCAGAATACATTTTGGCCTAAAATGTATGACTAACTGAGTTTACTAAATAATTTTTATAGCTGAAAGTAAAAAATATTGTTTTTCTTCAAATTTTTCGGTCTTTTTTTGTTTATAGCGTGAAAAATAAAAAGCACACAGGTGATCAAATACCACCAAAAGAAAGCTCTAGTTGTGTGAAAAAAAGGACGTAAATTTCGTTTGGGTGCAGCATTGCATGGCCGCGCAATTAGCAGTTGAATTAGTGCAGCGCCGAGTAGCAAAAAGAGGCCTGGTCATTAAGGGAGTAAAAATCCTCTAGAGGGCAATTGGTTAAACCAGGGGTATGCAACCTTAAAGATGTGGAGATCTACCTAAACAACATGGGAGAAGTCAAAGACCACTGGGCACAGTGTTGCCTCCTCACACCTGATTTAAACCCCTAATTGCCATACTACTGTGCTGTAAACGTGTGCACTGCACAGCAATCATTTGTTTAAATCAGGTGGTGAGGAGGCAACATATCACCTGTCAAAAACACTCGGATTGCTTTTCAAAGGAACAGCTGTGCCTGCTGAACTTGTGAATGAGCCTTTAGTTGCATTTGGCAGCTGCACCCTTAGAGCTCATTCACACGTAAAGTTGGGGGGGGGTAGTAAAACCCTGCGGTTGAGTCGCGGTTTTACCGCAGCAGGAATTAAATCCCCTACTGCTTTTGGTGGGTGCTACCGTCTGCCAACCAGGACCTATTCAAGTAAAAATGGCTCCACTCTGCAAGCGCCCCACAACTGCATGCTTCTGTGGGGTCCAAGGGGTGATGAGAAAGCAACACAAAGCTGCCTTGCTTTAACCTCTTGTTTGCTGTACTGCACAAGTTTGCAGGACACTTGCAGAGGGGCTTCATTCACAGGTAACATGCCAGTCCCCCACTGTATTTTCCACTGTCTGTATTGGTTTTATCTTCGTTCAATAAATTAGATTATTTGGAGTGCAGCCAATCAGACTTCCTTTGTTCACATATAACTCCTGCTGTGGCTGCAACATGTGTACACCCCCTGCCCATACAGCTAAAGGGGGTGCTAAAAACGTAAAAACGTGTCTTAACTATGGGGTTTTATCACCCCCGCAAACTGCAAATGTAAATGAACCCGTACTGTTCTAAGCCGCCTATAAAGCTGCTTTCACACTGATGTGCTGTGGTTTCCCTGCACCATGGGTGCAGCGCAGTGCATCTGTGACTTTTCTGGATTAACCACATTTTTCCCTAGACCTCCATTATATTCTGCAGGTGTGGTGCACTTTCTGAAAGCACACCAAATCTCCTGCATTCAAGAGTTTTGGTGCACTTTCAGAAAGTGCACCAAACCCACAGGGTATAGAAGTCTATAGCGAAGTGCAGCACAGACATCACATCAGTGTGAAATCAGCCCTATACAATTATGTCAAGTGTATTGCTTCATACTGACATGAAGATCTTTTTTTTCCTGCTGCTGGCACCACTCTGGAGACCACTAGCCGGGATAAGTGGTGGAATGCAGTTGGTATCAATCCGCATGGGAGAGGAGCCAGCACTGCAGAGGAGCCATTGGCTTATGCGGCTCTTGCTCTGTACTACAGCTCCAACTTTACAAGTAGTCCCTCTGCATTGCACTCTGATGGTCTGGGATGGTGGGTCAGCAAGCCCAAACTGCAATCTACCAGACACCTGGATGCGATCTACTGGCATATCACGATCTACGGATTGCTGACCCCCATTATAAACTATGTAACTATATCATACATTTCACAGGCATCAAACATCTGTTTTTGGGTAAAACTATAAACACATTAAAAATGCTTTTTGTTTCATAAATCATTTGCTCATAAAAAACAAATGGTCATCAAAAATGACATTTAAATTGTTACATTTAATTCATGACATAGATGTTAATGACTTTATGACATGAGCGTACCAGGAGGAGGGTGTTCTTTAGGAACATTATTATCTTGCAGCAGAAGTTCCAAGAGAACAGCAGGATAATCTGGTAAGGCTTCTGCCCTGTACACAAGAGCAAAAAAAAAAATATAGAAAATTAGCAAGAAGAAACATGGGCATTCTAAAATGTACACTGCTCAAAAATATTAAAGGAACACTTTGAAAACACATCAGATCTCCTGGATATCTACTCAGTAGTTTGTATGGCCCCCACGTGCTTGTATGCATGTCTGACAATGTTGGGACAAGCTCCTAATGAGATGACGGATGGTGTCCCGGGGTATTTCTTCCCAGATCTGGACCAGAGCATCACTGAGCTCCTGGATTGTCTGAGGTGCAACCTGGCGGCGTCGGATGGACCAAAACATGATATCCCAGAGGTTTTCTATTGGATTTAGGTCAGGCGAGCATGGGGGCCATTCAAGGATATCAATTCCTTCATCCTCCAGGGACTGCCTGCATACTCTCAGCACATGAGGCTGGGCATTGTTGTGCACCAGGAAGAACCCAGGACCCACTGCACCAGTGAGGGTCTGACAATGGGTCCAAGGATTTCATCCCGATATCTAATGGCAGTCAGGGGGCCATTGTCTAGCCTGTAGAGGTCTGTGCGTCCCTTCATGGCTATGCCTCCCAAGACCATCACTGACCCACCAAAACGGTCAAGCTGAATGAGGTTACAGGCAGCACAATGTTCTCCATGGCTTCTCCAGACCCTTTCACATCTGTCACATGTGCTCAGGGTGAACCTGCTCTCATCTGTGAAAAGCACAGGGTGCCAGTGGCGGATCTGCCAATTCTGCTGTTGAATGGCAAATGCCGATCGAGCTCTATGGTGAGGGGCAGTGAGTACAGGGCCCACTAGAAGATGTCAAGTCCTCAGGCCACCCTCATGAAGTCTGTTTCTGATTGTTTGGTCAGAGACATTCACACCAGTGGCCTGCTGAAGGTAATTCTGTAGGGCTCTGGCAGTGTTCATCCTGTTCCTCCTTGCATAAAGGAGCAGATACCAGTCCTGCTGATGGGTTAAGTACCTTCTACAGCCCTGTCCAGTTCTCCTAGAGTAACTGCCTGTCTCCTGGAATCTCCTCCATGCTCTTGAGACTGTACTGGGAGACACAGCAAACCTTCTGACAGCGGCACATATTGATGTGCCATCCTGGAGGAGTTGGACTGCCTGTGTAGTATCCAGGTATTGCCTCATGCTACCAGTAGTGACACTGACCCGAGCCAAATGCAAAACTAGTGAAAAACAGTCATAAAAGAGGAGTAGGGGAAAAAAATGTCAGTGGCCTCCACTTGTAAAACCTTTCCTGTTTTGGGGGTATTCTCATTGTTGCCCATCTACTGCACCTGTTGTTAATTTCATTAACACCAAAGCAGCTGAAACTGATTAACATCCCCTTCTGCTACTTAACTGACAAGATCAATATCCAAGGAGTTTAATTGACTTGATGCTATACTCTGAGTAACAATTGTTCCTTTAACTTTTTTGAGCAGTGCATATACTCAAATCTAAAAACAAAAACACAGTTTTTTTTGTATTGGCAAATAAATTAAAGCAGAAACATAAGTATCCATGAATAAACATTTTAAACCCAAATCCAGGATCCTGCTAAGTTTGCACTTTTGTCATGCTCTCCCTAGGCTCTATTCAAATGTGGAAACATTGTCAATTATAATGACTTTTCTGTTCTTATAATTCAAGAGTTTTCAATCCCACTGATGTCATTATTCCCTTCTGAACTGTGTGTAATTCCATGCAACGGGAGGAGGGCTTTTTGTCTTCACCCACATCACATCCGTGTGTGCAAACAGCACTACATTTCCTGTGAGGCAATGGGAAATGCAGGCCCGGGTGTGTAGGCGGAGCATTTAGAGGATGAACGGAGATGGCGGCGGAGAGCAGTCTGAGCTGTAATTGGAGCTGCGGCTGACACATGTGTAATGGGAGGATCAAGCCAGGAGTCTAAGACTACCAGGTCCACCCACTACAGTGTGCAGTGATGTAATTACATCACTGCTTACTGTAAAAGAATTACAGATGAGAAGTTACCAGACCGGTGGTCGGGAGGATAGAGAACACAGCAGCAACTGGTCTTACAAACCGGGTATAGAGGTGAATCAGGCCTACGGATACTAAGAATAAACCTGAATTTCTCATAATCAATATACTTGTTGAAGCACTGAACACCACGTTTGTTCATAGTATGTAAGCACCATTATAGATGTTAAACACATTTCTGCCCAAAGTTCTGCTTTAATGTAAATGTGTATTAAAAAAAAATTATATATATATTTTTTTACAGATTCAACATAGAACTAGCGTACGTAATCACATTTTTAAGCCCTTGGCTGTGCCCTGTACTGCTTTATCTTAACTGCATTATCCACATGCCATTTTGGCTAGTCCATTTCACCAACATTAGTGGGAGGCGATACAAGGTATTAACCAGTGTTGCAATATAGGAAGAAAGAGAAGCTTAGAGACAAAAATGAACACTAAACTGGGGAAGGAACTGGAACAGAAGCTGCGACAGAAAACAGTTGTGCTTCCTGCAAGACTGAGCAATCTGAATTTATTAGCATATGCATCAGCCAGCTTGATAATCCGTGATCTGCTCTTGTTTAAAATGCTGATTCATTATAGTGCAATTTTTAATATTCATTAATATTTAGAAATTTGCATTCACAACTCAATTGTCATAAAATTTACATGTTGGCATGTGTCTGCACTGTATACAATGCATCCCTGTCTTCTGTCAACAAACATAGAAACTAAAAACAACCCCCCCCCCCCCCAAATGTAACAAACTGCTGGCTTAGTTACTTGTTCACATGCAACAGATTCAAGTGAATGGGGTATACCTGAACCACGAGCAATGTGCATTGTTGTGGTGTTGTGGTGTGGGCTTTTCAGGGTTAAAACAGGGGTGAGCGCCTGTCAACCATCCTCTGAAAAGCAATTCACCACAGATTACTTTTCAGAGGGGTGGCAAGGGCAGCCAACAATGTAAACTGACATAATGTGTAAGACTATTTGACAAAGAGGTGACCTGCAAAACTGGAGCTGTGAATTCTGTATATTATTATTTTTAAATGCCATCAACTCATGTCTGAGTCCTAGCAACCTGATGAATAAGAGCTCTAAAACGTTTGTGTGCCAAATACCAAGTAAAGCAAACTGATAGATTAAAGCTGGTCATACATGAAAGTAAAGGAAGACTCCTCTATCCACACTAACATTGCAGATGGATGGAACTCCTGCTGCAGCTATTGTATTTTGACAGCTGGCACCTCTGGCTGTCAGAATACTCGAACAGTGCCTGCTTCTAATTTTGCTGCAGGGACTGTTCAGCAAATTTCCACCCAGCTTCTTTGATAAAAAGTGATTTAAAAAAAATCAACTTTTGTCGATGTGTGTTGCTGACAGGGACACCTACAGCACAGTTTGACAGATTCAACATGAATAGGCTAAAATGTATTGCGTGCATAACCAGCTTTTATTCATATAGCAGAGAGGACTCGTGTCAAGAGATCAGCCTCGTGTCAAGAGATCAGCACTGGGAAACCTTCAGACAGTCTAAGCTGGTGCAGAAATAGGGAGGGAAGGAATTTACCAATTCACGAAAATTATTGTTTCAGATTCAGACCTGCTCAGCTTACAAAACACTATAAAGGGAGGTTTGGTCATGCATAGGTTCACATAACCTTATCTTTTTTAAAATATTGTTTATTGTTTTTTTTCTTAATTGAGAAATTATACATAAATATACCATTACAAAATAATCCTATTACAAACAAGCAAGAAAATGGGATTTTATACCTACTAAATCATATGGACAGTGGTTTAAATAGAAAAACATGTATGTAGAGTTGTGGACCATTTATCTTAAAGACATAGAAGCTGACAACAATACTATAAATGTGAGAGTATACAGGTTATCGTTAAAGAGGAGTTCAAGCCTGCCCCCAAACAATAAAAAGTCAGCAGCTACAAATATTGCAGCTGCTGACTTTTAATATAAAGACACCTACTGTACTGTCCAAGGATTCAGCGCTGTCATCACCCGGGCTCGTTACTCACAAGCCTCCGGGTTCCTGGCACCAGCATTGAAAGTAAGGGACACCGAAGTGAAGCCTTGGGGCTTCACAGCCAGTTTCCTACTGTAGAGCGAAAATCGTGCTGCACCTTGTGATTGGTCCCATAGTCTTCTGGGAACTGTGACGAGCAGAGGGGGAAGGAGGGGTCAAAACCACGTACCTGCTCCCCCCGAAAAAGTGCCAAATGTGGCAGTGGAGGGGGGGGGGGGGAGAGAGCATGCAAACAAGCGGAACTTACCCTTTCGGGTGAAGCTCTGCTTTAGGAACTACACAGGGAAGTTAAACAGTGTACTTGTGACACTGTCCCCACATACCACACCCTGTGAAATTTTTGTGGGTGTCCCATTACTTTAAAGGTTAACTTATACAATGGGAAATTAGTATTGGCTAGATGTATCCACGAGGAAAGGGTGGGGGTGGATTTTTCCAGCAAAGTAAGATATTTTTCTGACATAGTAGAACAGAATACAGAGTAGTATTTTAGCATTTAAGGCAATGTTTAATGTTACATCAGTTCATGAGGACAAGAGATATTTGGCAAGGCCAGGTTTCCTGCCAAGAGGGAGGCAATCTATGCCTAGTATGTATTTACATTGCAGTATTTTATGATAGAAGTCACCACAGCCTTTTAAACAGTGCTGAGAAGACATCAGTTCCAGGTTTAGCTTTGCATGAATATATTATGTTTGATGGAACAACTAGAGGCGATGAACTATTTTTGAAAGAGACAACTGAAGCCATGTAAATGTTCTTGAATTCAAACCATGCATCTATACTCAGGAGCAGGATAAGGACCTTCCATTTATTTTGTGATTTCCTAGATTTTCTTATTATTGTACCTTGTAGTTCAGTGTAATACTTAAAAAAATAAATAAATATGTTCTTATCTGTGATTGGGTATAAAAAGGGCATCTTAGAGAGTCAGAGTGTCTCAGAAGTAAAGATGGGCAGAGGTTCAT